CCCCAAAATTTCAGGAGGGTGCCCCCCCTTGTCGTAGATACAGGCCTCCTGTGGGTTGTTTTCAGTGTCTTGTTGCTGCCATGTGAGTACTACACCTAGGAAAAAAGAGTACAGTACATCCATCCATTAAAACACCCCACTCAGGCAGTCAGTTTTCCTGAAAAGAAAAGACAGTAGAGATGAGGCCAGCCTGGCCTCCTCTGGGAGAGAGTCCCCAAATTTGGGAGCAGCCACAGAGAACATCCTGTCCTGTGTCCCCACCATCTGTGAGGGTGGTGGAACAAGAGAAAGGCCACTCCTGGTTATCTTAACCCCCATGCAGGTTAATAATGGGAGGCACAGTCGTTGAGATAGCTTGGCCCCAAGCCTTTTAGAGCTTTACAGGTTAGACCCAGCACTTTGAATTGTGCACTTAGAAGAGGCAATCGTCTAGCGAGGCACCACTGTATTTGCATATTGTAGATTTTATAGTCAAATCTGAAATAGATATGTGTCAGCAGAAAGTCAAGGAAGGTAGTGACTAGGTGGGCTGTGTCCTCATTTTGAATTGTATTCCTAATGACCTGTAATCTGTCTCTGTGTGGGATAGAGAGCATCTACACCCATCATGGCTAAGATGGAGTTGTCAGGATGGTCATAAATAGATTGCATTTTTTTTCAAAGGTCTGTAGTGTCTCCTACGTAGCTACTTGCATTGGTAGGATATGGTTTGAGGATGAAGCTCAAGTATCCAGACAGGCAACAGTGTTGATGTTGATGCTTAATACAATGGGTCTACCTAGATTGCCAGTTGGTGTATTTTTGGTAGCAGGTGGCTGGATCAGGTTCTTGTGGTGTGTCAGCCAGAATTTGGCCACATATATTCCCAGGGAAGTCTTTCATAAGGTTTTATAATCTCTTTTGATATTTGGCAGTTGGGTCTGTGGTTAGGAGTAATTTGCAGCTAAAGTAAGTCCTTGGCTCAATGAAATTTATGGAGGGGGCTACTATAGTGCAAGTTACTAAGCTAATTTTGGGCTACTATAGTGCAAGTTACTAAGCTAAGTGAAAGGATTTCAGCCGTTAATAAGTTACTACTTGCGTACCCAAAGTCATTACTAGCTGCAACTAAAAGGCCACAGATGAACAATTTGTGGCAAATAAAGAAGTTAAGAGGTGGCATGTCATCTTTGCAAGAGGATGTGGTGATTGAACAAGGTCAGTATCTTGATAACTGCCAGGAAAACCTTGGATTTCCACCTACGTAGACCTTTTCTGTGCCCCATGGTAGCTATAGCACAGATTGGGAAACAGTGACATATAGGAGCCAACAGTGGTTATGGGCTTGAAATGTCCCTTGCTTTTTAGCAGAGCAGTAACCTGAGCCTAAGAGGGATGTGGTGGCGCTGTGGGTTAAACCACAGAAGCCTCTGTGCTGCAAGGTCAGAAGACCAGCAGTCGTAAGCTCAAATCCATGACGGGAGTGAGTTCCTATCACTTGTCCCAGTTCCTGCCAACCTAGCTGTTTGAAAGCATGCAAATGTGAGTAGATAAATAGGTACCACTATGGTGGGAAGGTAATGGCATTCCATGTCTAGTCACACTGGCCAAAGTAATTTGCAGCTAGAGTGAACCCATTGGAATGAATGAAACCTATTGAGCAGTTGAGTCATCAAATCCCCACAGATTCAGTACCCCTACTCTAGTGCAATTTGCTACAGTAAACATCAGGATTTCAGCCTCTGTCCCAACCAGGCTACTTATGCTCTCCACCAGTGGTGTGGGTACAACAGTATCTTAGACTGTAATGTTGTATACACTTCTTTGGCTAATTAAATCCTATTAATTTCTGTGTCCCAACCAGACTACTTATGCTCTCCACCAGTGGTGTGTGTACAGCAGTGTCTTAGACCAGTGGTTCTTAACCTTTGTTACTCGGATGCTTTTGATTCCTTGGAACTTATTTCCGAGGAGCTGCTGCCTTAATAAGCTTTCATGATTTGCTGAGATGCTAGACAAGGAGGTGGGCTTTGGGATGCCGACATTTATGAACCATGCATGTGCCACCCTATTGCTTTTAATAGCTTCAGTGGAACTTACCAATACAGTAAGCAAGGTCTGCTGCAGCCCACAGAAAAGATTACAGTGAGATGCCAAGTGGGAGGAACATGAAATACTCAAGAGGGAAGCCGTTTCCTGCATTGATGGCTTTAGAGGAATTCTGAGCATGGTCTTAGAACTGATATGCGCCATTATCTGTGCCTCTCTTATATGGGCTTCAGTTGTGGTTTTATTGGCATGACTTTGAGATGCAGCCAGACATTAAGAGGTTGAGCATGTGAATGATACAGTCCTATGTGGTTTACTTGTCGGGGGCAACTCTGATAGCAGCTAGACCACCAGTTCAGTGTGCTGGTCTCTCCAAGGAGACCTGCCTCAGCCTCTGTGGAAGGCAACGAGATTTCTTTCAAGAGCTATGATGTTTCTGCCACAAGATCTGTTCATGGAAGGTTCTGTTGGTACTTGCCATGTTACAAATTACTTGGCTTTAAAGCTATAATTATGGTAATAGAGGGAATTGCTGTCTAGTGAAACCATAAAACATTTCCATCTGCCTGCCGCAGCCCTGAAGCACAGCTCATTACCACAGAAAAGTGTAAGTGTAGCAAAGAGGTTAACGGAACACTGATTCTGACTTAGCAGTGGCTTGAGGAAGAAAGAGACAGACCAGAGGTATCTGTTGCGACATTGGTACCGGGCTGCTAAGGAGGCCTGATCCAGGGGTTTCAGTCTTAGCAAGAAGTGTGATTGATAGTACGCTTAGTGCAGGGAAACATCCATATGGATTTTTGATGGGGTGAAGTGCATGTGTGTGTGTTTAAACACACGTAGGGATGTGGATAAATTGAAGGACTATTCGCGTGATGAGTAGAACAGTCCTGAATAAGGTTGTCAGTTCAGGACCCTACTGTGTGTCTTTCTAGAAATAAAGAAGCGGATTGCATCTAAGACACTTACGCTGTGGTAAAATTTTCTTAATGATCTTACAATGCCTTCAATGTGGTTTGGTTTTTTGTTATAATCTGGAAAACACATCTTCTGAGGTTGTACACGGCTCTCATTCAGAAAAAAATCCCCATCTTTTGGTTCATCTCTTCACCTGCAAGGATGCAATCATGACTGATTACTTACTGAAGTGATGGGTTTACAGTCTTCAAAGCCCCACAGTTCCTTATGGGTACGGGACATATAAAGGAAATAATCCACATATAAATGAAGAATGTGCGGAGTGTGATGTTGCCCCCATGCAGCAGCACCAGCTATTATTTGCATAGAAGGACAAAATGGCATTGATTGTTAAACGAGAGACAAAAGTGACTCCTGACAATTCTCATTTAGCAATTAAACCATCTCGTATCATGAGTTTTTCATATTCATTATTTTTTTTTTTTTGCCTGTGTGTTCTGTGCTGTCAAATCGGAAGCAACTTGTAGTGACCCTGATAGGGCTTTCAATATCGTGAGTTTTTCATATTCATGAATTTTTTTTTGTCTGTGTGTTCTGTGCTGTCAAATCAGAACCAACTTGTAGTGACCCTGATAGGGCTTTCAAGGTATTTAATATATTTAAATATTTCAAGATATTTAAGGAGTGGTTTTACCAGTTTCACTCCCCCAGTGAGTTTCCACGGCCCAAGTGGGGATTTGAACCCTGTTCTCCAGAGTCCTAGTCCGTCACTCTGTCAACTACACCACACTGGGAATCCCATACATTTTTTAAAGGGGAAACACATGTATATCAAAGAGAGGAGACAGGGAAAATATAATTAAATTAATCTAGTTAGAATATAATGCACTCAATTAAAGACAACAGCTAGTTCTTAGTTCTGTTCTCCAGACCCATCTTCCCCACAGGTTCAAAGTGTGAACCCACTAAATTTGCTGGTCAGTGACCGTAATAAACATTGTTTATTATTAACCCACTAAAAGTTGCAGGAATGGGGGAGAAAGAGAAAAATGTGGACATCCAGCTCCAAGCATGATACAAACATCAGGGCTTTTAAATGTCAGGCAGAACCTATGGCAGGTTGCATCCAGTCTCTCAGTACTTAAATTGAGGGCGAAAGGCAAATTATTCCAGACATACAGACAAGGATGTAATTGGAGCCAGGATCCACCAGAGCTTAGCATTACAATCTGTTTCCTCTGGCACTGTTAATTGGAGATGTTTTTGCTGATCACAGGGAGAATTACCTTGTCACTCAGAGATCACAACCGTGCTCCCTAGGTCTGGAGTTGGGGGGGGAGGGGGGACCTTCCCCCTTTTGACAAGGACGGGGTGTGTTCCTCTAATGTCCAGAGGGGTTTGAGGCCTCTATATGCCCTTCTTTGGGGATCTCGTTTTGATTCATGGTTCTCGGACAGACTTGCAGAGAAAGGGTCAGGGAAAGCAGAAAGCAAAGAGCCCCTCTAAGAGGGAAAGGACAAAACAAAAATGAAAGCATAACAAAAAGAGTCGAGCAACCCAAGACCTGGTGAGGCTTGCTGGGCATCAGGAGTGGACAAAAGGCGGCCCTCCTCTGGGTGTGGTCCAGCTTCCAGACCCGTCGGCCCTGGCCTGTGTCATTCATGGTGAGGAACTTGGGGAGTGGCAGTCTAACAAGAACTGGAGGCCCCCTTTTGTCCACCCCATTTTCAATGGGTTTCCCTCCCTTCGGCGTAATTGCCGGTTTGAATCTGAGCAGAAGATGGGCCTGGAGAACAGAACTAAAGTGGTGTGATTCTCTTTAAGTATATGTACCATATTTTTAATTGCATTTCCCCTGCCTCCTCTCTTGGAGGGTCAGCGAATACTGCAGCTTTCAGCCGGTAAGGCTAGAGCGCTCCTTCCGGAAGGCCGTTCCTACAGGACTTGAGGCCAGAAGGGAGGTATATCTGCGGGTCTGAGCACTGGATCCCAAATTCCACCGTGCAGCTTCCCAACAGACTTCAATAACTTTTCCCTTTCTTTCTGTCCTTCAGATTGTTTGCCGGCGCTGTCCCTCGAATATCTGCCATCAGTCTCGGAGGCTTCATCTTCCTTGGAGCGTATGACAAGATACGCAGTTTGCTGGTATGAGCTGGCTCTGGGACGCTTGAAACAAACAGCTGAGGAGCTGAATCCTGCCCCCCCCTCCCTTAAAGGGAGAAAGCACATTTGTGAAAGTTGTTTACTTGCTTTCCACAAATTCCACCCTTCTCTCCTTCTCCTGTCTCTGTGGCTCAGCAGCTGTTCAACAGCCTGGACTCTATTCCAACTCTTTAAACAAGAACACACACACACACACATAATTCCATTTCCCTAATATAAAATTTCTGTGTATGGAAACCCCTGTTCTCGTGGTGAGCTCATTGGAAGGGAGCCTGCCAAGACAGGCAACTTTGGGGGGCCAACGACTGGCTCATTTTTATGGGCTCCAGCCTTGTGCCTGAAAGGATCATTATTAGAACTCATTTGAGAAGAATGATGTGCAAACGAGAAGAACATGGCCTGCGCAGCATGGCAGGCATTTTTTTAAAAAAGCTTTCCTTTATTTTTGTGGCACCAAAACCACTTACGACACTGAAGAGGACGCCACCGCTTGCCTCTAAAGAGAGATCAGGCCTGCTGTGCTCCAGAGGACAGGCGGAAGAAGCTCTAGGCAGGTTGCTTTTTCAAGNNTTCAAGAATGTATATATATTTTTGGGGGGTGGGTGGGGGGGGAGCCATTTGTTTCTTGTTTGAACCCCATTTGGAAAGTTTAGACCACTGTTCATACCTGCAGGTGCATAGCAAGCATTCTTGCTTGGATAAGCAAGGCTGCCTTTTTAAATTAGACTCAGATTTCGCCAGTAAAAAGTACAATGTTGTATTATTTTACTGTCTAACAATGTTGCTTATGAAAAAGAAACAAAGCCCTGGTTTTTCTCTTCTTTTCTACCCCCTTGCTTTTACAGCCGCCACCGTCTTGCACAACATGAAAAAAGGGGAGAGGTGCAGGGTGGGGGTGGGGAGCGAGCAAAGCATGAAACGGAGGAAGGGGAGTTGGTCACTGGATGAGAAAAGGCTGCAATTCCACAACCCTTTTCCTTTAAGATGGTCACTGAAAAAAATGAATGGGGATGTGAGCCTGCGATGAGCAGGGATGTTGGCAGGTCTCTGGGTCCGACTCCCAAGTCCATGTCCAAGTCTTTCGTACCAAGTCCTGACTCTGAAGCCCCAAGTCTGAATCTCCTTTAAAAACAAGCTCTCCCCCCCCCCTTGAAAAAAAGGATGGGTGGGTGAGTTTCGAGTCACAAGTCGAGACTGAGTCATTGAAATAATTTGTTGTTGTTGTTTAGTCCGTAAGTTGTGTCTGACTGTTTGTGACCCCATGGACCAGAGCATGCCAGGCCCTCCTGTCTTCCACTGCCTCCCAAATTCATGTTGGTTGCTTCGCAGACACTGTCCAGTCATCTCGTCCTCTGTTGTCCCCTTCTCCTCTTGCCCTCACACTTTCCCAACATCAGGGTCTTTTCCAGGGAGTCTTCTCTTCTCATGAGATGGCCAAAGTATTGGAGCCTCAGCTTCAGGATCTGTCCTAATGATAATCGTTAAAAAAAACTGGTGTGACTGAAGTCTGACAATGAACCCCATGACATGAGTGCCCATCCCTGGTGATGGTTGCTTCTTGCTAAGCTGACCTTAGAGCTGGTAAAGGCTTTAAAAGCAGCTTGTAATGTTGTATGCAAAGCTATGTTGAGGAAAGAAAGAGAAGTGTCATTCTATATGCATGCCTTGATTTCCCCTCAAACAAGATTCTTGGGGGAACGGAGAATGCTTAGAGTGGATCCAAACATCAGTGGGGTTTGAGTTAGTCATATAAAAACAATAAATAGGTGTCTTGTGGGCATGCATGGGCCTGCGTATGAGCAGAACTTATTTATTTAAAAATATCTAAAAATTCAGAAAGCTGTGTTGATCCATATCTGTATGTGTGTGTCCATGCATACATGCATGCATGCATATGTGAATGTACACATACTGTGCACCCCTTCAGCACAGCAATATCTAGCAAAATACCGAATCTATACTGATCACCAGGCAATCCTATACTTGGGAAGTGGCAGCCTGATATAGTGCTGGACATGCTGGATTCAGGGTAGAAAGGCCAAAAGTTTCCATGAGAAAGGAAAAGAGAGGGGTGCAACACAGTCCCAAAGAGCGGGGGAAAACCCCCCTCCAGTACAAGGTATGCAGAAATTTCTCCCCAGGATTGCCGTCTGAAGGGAACAAGGGAGAGTCTGAAGGGTGTGGAGATTGTCAGTAAGAGACATAATCCTCCTGGCTAATCCAAAATGTCAGTGCTTTTTGCTCCATGAGTTCCATTTCTTTTCAGATGAAAGGCACAGGGAACCTTCTACTGGGAAAGGCAGATATTCTAGGGCTTCAAAAGGACAATTCTCTCGTCACCTTTACAGACGGCCTTGTCACGCTTGGAGAGGAATGCCTTCTCCTTCACCGCGTTTTCCGTGTGTCCGCTTCGCCGCACTGAGACAGAAACATTTGTTGATTTTGCTTTGAGAAGACTGTAAAGCTGTGATCTTTACTAAACTCTTGTTACAGATTTGTTCAGTTTCAAAGAAAGGGAATGTAGACCTTTTTAACACATTATTTTCATGTGTTGATAGAGCGCTTCATGAGAAGGATGCCATAGTCCCTTCACCGCCACAGATATCTGTGTTGCCCTCCGTGCATATACAATATGGGCGGCTCCTCACCAGAACCCCAGCACTCCAAAATTAAACAAACAAACCGCCAAAGTCCGAAGAGAACTCTGGAGGCACATTCAGCTGAGCTCCTGTGATCGGAAAGCCCGTCTTATTGTGGGTTCTGATCACAGGGGCTGGGAAAGTCAAATGCACTTCTAGAATCCCTTTCAGACCTTGGAATGCCACGTGCCCAGGTCTGAAAAGCCATGGAAACTGTGTTTTCTGAAACATATTCTCCCATGAGGATTGGGCTCAGGTTTACTTTTGATTGCCAGCAAATGTTTTAAATGAGTAAAATTCGAAGTACATTGTCTTCCCATGTACTTCTGCATGTGTGTTGGGGGTGGGTGGGTGCATGCCAGAATGTCGAAGACTACTTCCTCCCTGCCAATCCTTAGGCAACCTTGGCTTTAATATGAGGAAGAGGGTAAGTAACTCTGTTCTCCTCATAATGTTGGTGGCCTTTGTTTTTACAGCAGCCTTTTCCTCTTTTCATAGGAATTCTTCAGCTGTTCCTAGAAAGGAAGGTATTTCCACTTCTATATTTTGGGAAGTAAAGCGCTGGGCAAGAGGTCCCCATTACCTGCTCAAAACAGGATAGTTGCATATGCATAGGATAAGGAGGACTGGAAAAAACAGTCCTGGAGAAAAAGGGAGGACAAGTGTTGGATAAAGGACCTCAGGGATTGACTCTGGATAAAGTGGCTTCCTCAGTTCTTTGTCATAGTCTACATGCTAGCGCAGGGAGGCTTTCTCAGAGAGCAGCCTTCAGCCACAGGTAGAGTGAGGGCAATCATAAGGCACATCACAGTTAAGTAGGAAAGGCTTTGAACCAGTAATGAGCCTTCCTGAGAAGTGAAGTAGGGATGGTGTCTGGTCTGAAAGCAAACTGAAGAGAAAGGTGCCACTCAATTGCTGGGTGATCCAGGGCATATTCCTGTCAACTGTGGAGGAATAGGACACAGCCGGGTCTTCAGCTGTTGCTGGCACTTGTGTCAGCCCAAGCAGACTAAGGAATGGGTGGTGAAGACTTCTTTATTTAATGGGACTGGCACAATATAGTGCTGTATCCTTAACATCAGCATTGTGTGCCATCAAGTAGACTCCAATTTATTACAAGCGTTTCAGGATTTCCCAAGCATACTCAGAACTGTTAAGCATTCCTTTCTTCTTTCTTCTTGGGGGTGGGGTGGGTAGGCTTCCCTCAGACTGTCTAGCTTGCTCAATGCTATACAGTGGTGCCCCGCTTACCCCGTTTAATGAAATCGCTTCACGATGTGTTCTTTTGCGATCGCAATTGCAATTGCAAAACGATGATTGAATGGGGGTTTTTTTTGTTTCACGATGATCGGTTCCCTGCTTCGGGAACCAATTTTTCGCTTTACAACGATCAGAAAACAGCTGATCGTCGGGTTTCATAATGGCCACCTGCTGTTCAAAATGGCTTTAGCTGTGCTTAGGACGGATTCCTCGCTGACAGGCACCAGAAAATGGCTGCCCTATGGAAGATCTTTGTTGGACACTGAGGTATTTCACCCATTGAAATACACTGAGCGGTTTTCAATGCGTTTCAAAATGGGCTTTTTACTTTTGCCTGACGACGATTTCGTTCTACAGTGATTTCGCTGGAATGGATTAACGTCGCCAAGCGAGGCACCACTGTACAGGGTGGCTCTTCTCTTGGGAAGCACAGTGGGGAATCAAACTCTCAATCCCTGGCTCCACAGCCAAAGTACCTAATTCAGAAAACTATCCATACTTTGTATAACAGTTTTCTTTGTGCGTTATGATATATATTTGTAGCTGGAGGATGTGTATGGATAATACTGACAGATCAGGAATACGTGGAAGAGTATGTTAACATATACGTGAAGATTACTTAGGGGAGTGGGAATAGCTGTTAGAAGGAAGTGATGTGAGTAAAAGTGTGTTTGTGGTAGGCAGTCTAAACTTCATCATTCTTCACATCTATGTAGAGTGGCCAGTGGTATAGGTTTTGACTGGACCAGACTGAGACAAGTTCTTAGGGGAAGTCCTTGAAGCCAATGCATGATGAGAAATGTAGGCTCTCAGGTCAGCTGTGTTCTGAAACACAAACTCAAGAGCCTGCCCTGTTTATCATGCCTTGATTCTGGGGACATCTCATTGAAACCAGATGGTTGAGTCATAAAGTGCCGCTCATTTCATGTGTAATAGCGCACACTGCAGGGAAAGGAGGTTTGGGCTTTTTAAAAACTGTCTAGGTTATGGGCCTTGCAATGGGGCAAGGGCTTGTGGGGGAAGGCAGCACCCTGTATCGGACTGCCGTGTTTTGGAATCAGTACTTTGGGCTGCCATTTTTAATTACAGTGGTGCCTCGCTTAACGAGCGCCCCGTTTAACGAAAAAATCGCATAGCGATGGCTTTTTTGCCATCGCTTTTGCGATCGCACAACGATCTTGCCTATGGGGAAAAATCGCTTTGCGATTTTTCCCCATAGGCACCATTTTCCCCCAGCTGAGCGGCGGGAGCTTTGCTCATTCTCTGTCTGCCACATCGAGACTTACAAATTTTGCACCGGGTACAGAGAGGGGAGGGGAGGGTGCTGCAGGGACAGCACAGAATGTTTAAACTGGGCACATGAGTACAAATAAAAGGGTTATTTTGCACACTGCTTTTTTCAGTCCATACAAGTTATCCAAGCCAAATTTGTTCACAGGCTTATGCGAACAAACCTAATATATGATGAGGCAGCAGGCCAGTTCAAATATTCACTAGACCCCAATACCCAGTGGGAAACGGGCCCCTTCTCATGTGGGTGGGCACACCTTTTTAGCTATATTAAGGTTTAGACCACAGAATTAATTTGCTGTTTTGAAGAGAGAGAAAGAGAGTGAGAGTGAACAGATAGAGAGGCAGCAGGCTTGCATATCTGTCCTACTAGAAAGCTAGCCACTAAGTGGGCCTCAGTGTAATTACAGTGGTGCCTCGCTTAACGAGTGCCCCGTTTAACGAAAAAATCGCATAGCGATGGCTTTGTTGCCATCGCTTTTGCGATCGCACAACGATCTTGCCTATGGGGAAAAATCGCTTTGCGCTGAAAGGCATCCCAATCCCACAACCCTCCCCCCGCAGCTTGGATCCGAGCCACAGCGGCTACCCCAGCCATGGCCGGACTCTAGGGAGTCCAGCCATGGCTGAGGTAGCCGCCATGGGTCAGATCCAAGCCGCGGGGGGGGGAGGGAAAAAACCAGATAATCCGTTCCAATTGGAATGGATTAACCGGTTTTCAATGCATTCCTATGGGAAATGGTGCTTCACATAACGATGTTTTCACATAACGGTTTTTTTTCTGGAACCAATTAACATCGTTATGCGAGGCACCACTGTATGAGTAACTTTTTTTTAATACTGAGGGATTCAGTGGTTGATTTGAATGAATGAATAACATTTGTCTAAATCATTTCATTTGTTTTATAATGCATTTAATTTAATGGATAAATACAATTTATTGAATTTAAAATATTCTTTGTAAATAACAATTCTGAGTGGCTAGGGGTGCATATTTCTGACTTTGCTCTCAATTACTTTATTTTAAGGACGTTGAATGATTACAGATAAAATTATTTCCGAAGTACGTTCATATTTCATTAACTGTAGAAAAGTATTCTGAGTATTGGGAGGTTGTTAAGCTGTGTTTATTGATTTCATTATATCCCACTGTCCTCTTATACTGGCACCTGATATGTCTTCTACTATACGAGCTTTATATTTAACTCTACACGAAGGACAACAGATATATCTCTTATACTGGCACCTGATATGTCTTCTACTATACGAGCTTTATATTTAACTCTACACGAAGGACAACAGATATATCTAATTATGACATAGCTATGCACACTAACATATAATAACATATAATATTCAGTTTTAAAGCAAAAGATCTCCTTTTTGGTAATTTCTCCTGTCCACATACTCCTTTTTGACAATGCAGCAATGGTCACATGTACCTTGGCATGAACCTTGGTTTGGAGGTTTGTGCCTGTGTGCATCACAAGTACCCTTTCCCCACCTGCCTGGTTGGCTCCCCCACTCACCACCAGGCTCACACTGCTCTTCTCCTTACACAATTATCCAGTTGCAGGAGCAGCTCATGCTTCCCTTCTCTGCCTCCCCCAGCAGCTGCCCACTCACATAAGGAGGTGGGGCAGGGATTCCTGCAGCGGTCTTTGAGTGAGCAGCTGCTGGAGAAGGCGGAGAAGGGAAGCACACACAATCCACCAACAGGACCAGTACCAGGATCTGGGAAGAGTTCCTGGTTCCTCTGGAGAAAGTGGCTCAAGTTTGGCAGGACAAGGCCAGACGGTGAGAGAAACACTAGGAGAAGCAGCGCCAAGTCTGTCCCTATAAGAAGTGTCAATCAAATAAGTACTTCAAAGAAGCTTCAAAGAAGCTTCTCCATGTTGCTCACCTAGGTTTTCTCCTATGCACACTACTACTGTTCTTCAATATACTCCAGAGCCCAGGAGGTTTATTGTCAACCTGGTTTCACACACTGGGCGATGATTACCTGGGGGTAACTGGGGAAGGGTCCCAGAGCAGCCTGTTAAAGAGACAACTGCAGGCTTGTATCCAATACCCCTGCTGTGGCACCTCCCCACCACCACCTGGCCAACTTGAGGGGTGTGCTAGAGACTGTGGAAGAAGTGGAGCTCTGTCCTTACCCACAGCAGTGACTCTAAAATATCTTACTTTGAGTAGTCAACTGTTTGGGAGAATGGTAAACTCCCTGGTCCTACTGAAAGAAATTCGTGTTATTTAGTTGGCTGAGGTGGCTATAGTTTTCATTGTGCCAATAAAAAGAATTGGTTACATCAAGCATTTTCAAGTGTTTCCATGGAAGGGGCTGTGTGGCATCCTTGGACACCCCACTGGCGCAGCAATTACATTATTTTGACAGTCTTCTTAAAAATCATGTTAAAACTCCATAGAATTTTAATTAGACAAAAAGTATTGATATTATAAATGGACCTTTATTAAAGACACTTCAATGCCATTTGTTAGACACTTCCAATAATTTTACAATGTACTTCTCAATGTACAACATTGTACCAAAATCTTCTAATAAATAAATAACTTTGTACACAAAAGTAACACTTCCTCTTTCACATTGCCTCTCAGAAGCAGCAGATTCACATATTTAGTGGAAGTAACATTATTTAAACAGCTAACCATATTCAAAAATACAATATCTTTTTAAAACTGTAATATTATGGCAAATGTGCTTAGTATCATGAAGGGCAATACCTTCGCCCCCCCCCCAATGCTTCTCTGTCCCCATGTCTCCTCAATGTAACCTTTACTAGTTCACCTCTTCTAAGAAAACTTACCACTTACCTCCTTCTCCCTACAACCACCCTTTTTTTTTTAACAATCAAGGAAATAATGCACCCTAACTCATGGTAGTTCTCCTTATTGGCCACTTTTTAATTTTTTTGTACTTACACGTTGGCACCTCACAAAATCAGCCAGCTACCACAAAGTGCAAGTGTGTCTACGGTCAGGAAGCGACACATACCAGGAGCCGGCTTGGCATTGCTTCATGCAAGCTAGCTTCCGTTAAAAAGATTAGAGGCTCTTGCTTCGGAACCGCACACCTCCCCTTCCTAGGAGCCGAGTGCCAAGTGGGAAATTGTTTTAATGGTGCTGCAGGACTGCCAGATGTTCAGAGGTTCTGCCAGGTTTGTGTGGATTTTGTCAGCTTTCTGATGAAAGGAAATCCCATTGTCCTTTTTGCTTTTTCCACATGAAACGACCCTAAAGTACCCACAGCTGATAGGCCACAGGCATTTGGTTGCTTCCTTTGCAGGTTCCGGAGAAGAAGATTGATAACCACATCCCAGTTGAGGAGCATCATCTTCCCTAAGCAGGCCTCCTGAGCCCCCGTTCAGTGTTGGGGAAATGGTTGAAAGACTGGTGCAAGGAAACGGTCAATTGCCTCATTTAGAAAGGAATGACCTACTCAAGATGATGACGGAGCCACCCAAAAGGCTTCAACTGGCACGAGGGCAACACTAGACGCCCTCTTGTGCCTCGTGCCATGGAGACAGGGCTTCATGAGCGGGGGCCCTCAAGTCCTTATAGAAATTCCTCCCATAAGACCCTAAACTATATCTTCTTAGTCTTTCTCTTCTGCAACTGGCCTTTAAGTCATGGCTAAATATTTTTAAAAAGAGAGAAAGACACAGAGAGAAACCAACTCCAAAAAAATCCCCCAAAATGCCATTTTTGCCCTTTCAGGCCAAGTCGTAATCTATGCTGAACAACTTTCTATTCAGAAGAATCTGAACTACAAACACACTGCTATGAAAAAGTAAAATTTCAGTACACATATAAAAACATAAAGAGAAGCAGCAGCCCTTATAAATAAAATGCTCTGTATTTAAAATGTTAAGTAAAACAGCTTTTCCTGTGTGTTGTTCACATTGCATTTTGTTTATTAGTTTGCATTTTAATAGTGCTTAGGTGACTGATAATTCTCAAAGCAGTAATTAAATAAAAACAGTAGCCTCATGTGGTTACAGCCCTTGAACAGTTTTTCTTATGAGAACTTTAAAAAGACCCTGCAAAATTCACAAAGGTTTCTTCAAAACCAAACAGTGGGATTATGAATCCAAACTGGAATCTAACTGAGGAGAAAATTAGATGGGAATTTGCAATACGGATTATTTAGGGTGTCATTAATTTAGGTGGTAGCAACATGGCTTGGAATCCCCACTTGGGAAATCCTAATCTGTCACATTTGGATGTTTAAACAGTACTACTTCTCTTTACTTTTCTTTTCAAATGCAGCTCAAACCTTCTGCCCAGCCTTATGTAAGTCCAACTACAGCAAATGGAAACTGTGCCAAAGCACATAGTTTGAACCATGCATGCTGGAATAAAATGTGGTGTACAAATGCTGTAAAATGAAAATTTTGCCAGCAAGGTCTTCTCTATTAGAAATGTATCAATTTATTCTTCAAATTTCTACCTAAGGCACCAAAAGATTTAGGGTTGTTGTTTTTTTTTGGGGGGGGGGAATGGACATTTTTTAAAAAACCTAACAATCACCTTATAGCAAGAAAACCATGAGTATTGTCAACATTGTATTGTTTCACTCAGTTCAATCATGCACCAAGGAATAAAATAACCTCTGTTAGAAGATATATATATATATAGATAGATTTATATTTATATATATATATTTATATATATATATTTATATATATATGAAAACTCTTATGTACAGCTTTTTGTTATCAAATACTTTTCTTTACACAATAACTGTTTGCATTTCTGTGCTTTATATGCAAGCCAACGTGTGAGCCACAGATACATCTCAAGGAAATTTAAAACTATGTACAAGTGGGCACCGTTTAGACAGGACACTGTTCTCCCACGCAAGCTTGCTTCGTATACCTCAATTTATGTTGTTGTCTTTCCTTTCCTTTGAGAAGCTGTCTGTTTAGAAGTAACAGACTGTCTGAGGTAGAAGTAGCTTAAGATAATTCCGTGCAAAGAAATTCTGGAGACAGAGTAAGATCTGTTCAATTTGCACACAGTGTTTTCCGCAGTCCAATGTGATCCTTTCAGCGGCTTGACTCATGAAAGGAGTCACCTGACCTTGGTAAGTGTCCGTTGGAGAGAAGTGTCTGTTTAGCTTCCGCCTCTGCTGCTAAAGTCTGGGTTAGGTCAGCAGTTCCTTTTAAGGCCCCCAGTGAGACTTCAGGAGGCAGCAGGAAGCCGTAAGGCTCAGAAGAGTTTGTTAAAGGTTGCAAAGAACCTGTAAGGAAACATAAAGGAGTCTTGAGATGGTGTTCTTCAATGCTCAGCTATTAGCCATCTTTTCCTGTGTACAGTATACACAGACATCCGATAATCTGCACTTCTGTTTTATATGCAAGACAAGGGTGAGCTATGGATATGTCTCTAGCATTTTAAACCTCTGTGCAAGCGTCATTTCACCTAATTGTGTATCATTTTAAAAACTAGTTTCTATTTATTTCCTTTACTTTCTAGTTTTGCCTTCCATCCATGAGCAGTTTATTTGCTTATTTAAATTATTTTACCCTGCTTTTCTCCTTTCAAAGGACCTAAGGCAGCTCACATCAGTAGATGACAATGTTTAAAAACGAAAAACAGTTTGTTGTTGTTTAGTCGTTTAGTCGTGTCCGACTCTTCGTGACCCCGTGGACGAAAAACAGTAAATAATCTTAAAACTGCAGAGCTGGAAGGGGCCTATGGGTCAAGTCCAGCCTCTGGCAAGGAGGCCCAGTGGATGAATGGAACCCTCAGTCTCTGGCTCTGTAGCCCGATACCGAAACCACTGAGCTATCCAACAGAGAGAAGTTGAATCAGGGGGGGGGCAGAATCCTGTTTGCTGATAAAACTCCACAAAGATGGTTTCATCAAGTTCTTCCTCTGTCCAGCCTGCTTTCTCTCACACAAGACACGTTGCAGTGACTACAGAAGTGGGTGTTCAACTGGCTGCGTGTCCAAATGGACAAAGGGTTGAAGCTGACAGGAAGGGAAAAACTATGGCACAATCGCCTTACATGTGCAGTTTTTCGCTAAATAAATTTTGCCTAAGATGTAGGGTCAGCTTAAAACTGGATGGGCACAGCGGGCTCTACTTTACCATTCTGGGACATTCTGACATTCTTTACTTACCTACTAATGCATTTGCATCACCAAAAGCCACCGTTCCCTGGGCGGTGTATGGTATATTATATATATAAAACATTAACAATGGAATAGTGACTGGAGAGACCACATAATTTCAAGCTGAATAAATTCAAGCACCAAAAAGCAAAAGCAGTGCGTCAAAGAAAACCCAAGTAAAACTAGGAGCAAAGTAGAAAGTGCTGTGAACTAAAAGCACATACACACAAAGAGTTCTTAAGATGTCCAGAGAACAAGAAAGTCTTTATATTTTGACCTGAAAAGACCGTAAGGCAGGCACCTAGCCTCGCGAGGATATTCCACACACAGGGTGTCATTGCAGAAGGGGCTCCCCTCTTATAGGCATCCTGGAACAGCCTCCGGGGTTACTGACCTTAAGGTTGGGGTAGGGCAATATGTGGCAATTACTCCCTGATACTGTATAACCTCATCCCAAGGCATAGACAGGGCTTAGAAAGGGAGCAGCAGCTCCAGGTGGGTGCAAAGGACCAGCATAACATGCTCATTGGCAGCTGGCTGCAGCAAGGAGTCTAGCCACCCTATCTGTGACTATCTAAAGTTTCTGCATGGATGTAAAAGATAGCTGCACATTTGTAGTCATCAAAATGAAAGGTAACCAGAATGTTGGGTAACTATTGCTAGCAAACCTCCATCCAGGAAGAGTCACATTCAATCCATCAACCTAAGGTGCTCCAAGCCACTAAGGCTACCTTTGCCCTAGTAACAGGTAAGGACTCTACAGATCTGATCCGTTAGAGGAAGTGCATCGCCCTCCACTACCAACAGCCATGTTCCTCCCCTCCCTGCTGTGCCCCAGAATACACACTGCATAGTACAAGAGAAGAGCTGCAAGGGGATAACTTACAGGAGAGGGGCAGGCCAGTGAGATTTAGACTGTAAGGACTAACAGACATACATCCCCTTTCCATGGTACAGTCCCATGAAAGGGAAGGCCGGGGTGGGGTGTGCTGTCTAACTGATAAATCCTAAATGTACCTTTTCGGTCCACGTGAGGTGCCTCGCTGGGGCTGGCAGCTGTCATCCTGTCGTGATTGCTGGGATAGATGGTACCACTGATGTAGGCATCCCTGGGGCTTACGCTCTCGTTGCACTTGGGAAGACTCTGATCGACAGCTGCAAGCATGTTCTCGTGCCTGCTGGACTCTTTGCTGTTGGAAACACTGGGAGGCACCGTTTCTGCAGGGAGCGGGCAATAATCGGGATCTTTGGGGTAAATGGTGACACTCATGCTGTCAGTGCTTCCGCTGCAATCGGCACAAACAACTGGCATGGTGTAGCCTGGGAGAGAAAAAGGCAAGAAGTGGGGAGAGAGCAGCTTAATACTTGAGAGGAGGGCTGGGAGGGCTCTGTTTTTTGTACAAGCAGCAATGGCTTCACACACTGGCTTGTTTTTCTCCACTAGGATGCTCCTTCTGTTCTTACACAGAGAGTACATATCATGCTGCAATTCTACAGCAGCATTTTCTATTAATCATCATCTCAGAACTGCAGAGTTGGGAGGGACCCTACTGTCAAGGAGGCAGAGTGGATGAACCTCTGGTTCTGCAGTCAGAGACCTCAATCACTGAGCTATCTAGCAGTTCTTAGAATCTATAAAAGTCCACATATCACCATCATACAGTTTTGTTTCCTGAGGCTGTCTATTGTGGCAGCCAGTTTGACTGTAAATTTTACGAAATGGGTGCTGAATGCCTGGGAAAATAGCAGAAACCAAAAGAGATTCAGGCAGGACTTCCACTGAATGGGGAGATGCGCTTTGTTCTTCCAAAACGTTGCTTGCCCCTCTTCTATACCTAGCAAAAGCAGAATATACTAGACAAAATAAACCATGCAATGTACTTAATTTGCATAATTAAACAGTCCACAGGTTCCAGTTTCTTGTGGAGCAGAATTTGGTTACATGGCACATAACGAGAATTGTAACTAACAACTAACAAAGAGCCCTGGAAATAGATGCCAGGCAAAGATGTGGGTTTAGGAACTCTGGATCTCTGCTTGGATGGATGAAAATATGGCAGAGGAAAGGTGGCGTGGTTGGAAACAGAACACAGCAACGGGGATTATCCCTCTACCTGCCTGTTCCTTTTCTCCAAGAGGAAACCTGGAACTGCATTTACAAAAGGGAGAGTGGAGGGGTGTGTGTATGATAAATAAGAGAAGGCTTGAGAGTAAAGGAAGGTTTTCCACCTCCTGTTTTTCTGCGGTAAATAGCAGCCTGCCTTTCTCAGTTGTCATAGCACAAAGCTGACCATGGGGTTTCCACCGAACATTGAAGTTACACGTTTTGTGCAATACGTATTTACCACTTTCCCTGGATAAAACAAAACTTCAAAGTTACTAAAAGTGTCATTTCCCATGGCAGTTTGGGATGATGGAAGTCTAACACAGTGATGGCGAACCTATGGCACGCGTGCCACCGCTGGCACACAGAGCCCTCTCTGTGGGCACGCGAGCCATAAGTTGCTGGATTGCTACCCCCGGCAGCCAAACCTGAGGAGGCGGCTACACCCGCAGTGCTGGCGCCCCGACAGGCGGCAGGCCAGGATCTGGAGCAACTGGCACCGGAGGTGGTGGGCTGGCCGAGCTATAGGGAGTGGCGAGGTTGGTCACAACTGGAGGCAGATCCGGAGTCGGGTCTGGAGGCACCTCTGTGCCCGGGATTCCTGCTTCCGCCGGCGCTTCTGCCACCACCAGTTCTGCTTCCACCACTGCTGGCACTGCCACCCACTGGGTTGTTTTTTGGTTTTTTGCAGTTTGGGCACTCAGGCTCAAAACGTTTCGCCATCACTCGTGTAGCACATCTAGAGGTTGGCAATGCTGGATGAGTTCTATGCACCCCAAACACTGACTATTATCACTGAATCCCTTCTGGACCATAGTTTCAGAGATAGTCCCATGTAACTCCCACACCCAAAGGTTGGGATCCATACATAAGCATGAGAAATACTTCATGGAGGGCAGAGGAATGACTGAACAGGGGAACTTCCCATGTGATGTGTGCTTCTTATAATCTACTCATATTTCTTCCGAATTAATGAAGGAGGTTTCTCCTCAGATGTCAGTTGTACGCTCTGACAAATAATGAAAGTAAGAAAATACATCTCTTGAAATCCAAAAAAGAGCTGCCTTGTTTTGTCAGCAGATTTTAGTAATCAGTAAGGGCGCAACATCCCTGTTCCAGGTCAGTGAGCTCTCTGTACCTGTCTCGTCCACAAGTAGCATCCTGTCAGCTATATCTTCTCCTTTCCAAGCCTCCTTGTTGTATCCTAAGCACAGCTTGGGCTGTCGATAGACAACAGGATGAGCTTCGACCTCTGGATCTTTCCCTCTGTCCGTCTGGCAAACTCCTAGGGGGGAAAAAAAGCAGATGCTTCAAGCTTTCCACTAGATATGCTGTTTCATCTGTCAGCCAAACAGTTGCCCAGCATTTCAAAACCCCTCCTCCTTTGGCAGGCACTCAACTCAAGAGACAGCGAGCGCCCTGGCTTCCCTCCGGGCACTGCCTCTGAGTGGGAGCCCACCAGGTGAGGAGGGGCTTTGAAGTGCTGAACATCTGTCTGGCCAATGAACGAACAGGCAGGAACTGTCGAACCAGCGCTTTATGCCCATATCTACTTTGCACGCAGGGCAGGCACTCCACGAGTCACCAAAACCAGAGCAAACTGTCTTGGCTAATTAGCCAATACTCTCCATCCTCCAGCGCCCTTTACGTGTAATCTTGACATGTAAAAAGTGTCTGAGGAAGAAGCCAGGATTCTCTCCCTTTTTCCTAGGGCATGGAGAAGGTAGCAAACACCAGGATTACGGATATGGTGGGATTACAGAGCTAACCAGGTCTGTTCAAGATGTTCTCCAGAAAAGTATCAGAGACCCAGATATGCAGAGATCAGGATGTTCTTTATGCATGTACAATGCCTGGCTGCACTTCTATCCTCTTCTCCCAGAAGAACAAATGTTCCTACAATACTGAGGGGATCTACCATGTAAAATTAATTGATTGATTCATTATATTTTTCTGCTGCCCCATAGTCAACAGGCCCTTCTCTGGGCAGTGTACAAACAGCCACAATATCACATATATTTAGGTAAGCAAGATCCTGCTTTTCTTTTGCTGGAAGTGGAAAACGTAGATAATCTTCTAGTCCCTGAACAGAAGCAACAGTCGTGTTACGCAAGCCGTACCATTGCTCTGTAAGTGTCCATTGGGCTGCTGGCCATTCTCCACTCTGACCACCGCTTCCTGCCGCTCCGAAAGAGTTCCCTGGGAGGAGAGATAGCTGGGCACATCAGGTGGCACAATGGTCTCGTCTGGGAAGACAGAAAAAGGGGGAAAGATGACAGGGCAGTGCCTTGGCGCAGAGGTGGAAGCAAAAGGACACACATTGGCTGACACAATTAAACACCATCTACGTTAGAACGGACTTGGTTGACGTTTGCCCGTGTTACCCCACAAGATATGGGAGACAACATAAAATGGGTTTGTTCTTTTTGCTCTTTGACTTTTGAATAAAAAATCTTGTTCGTGGCTGCATTTCCCTCTCTTGCACAGAAATCATTACTCTGGGATCGTTCTGTCCCATTCACAACAACGCCTGATAGTCAGGTTTTTCTCACACCACCTTTACATTGTTTTTGTTGTTACCGTTCCTGTCAGCTATGGAAGCATTCTAGTGCCATTCCCTTACTCCGAATCTGCAACACGCTGACTACAGACCCCATGGAGGATCCCTGAACTATTGCCCCACAACCCCTAGCCAAAATAAATCTGCCCCCACATTGTGCATGGCAGATTCTTATTTTCTTTTCTTTTTTAATTATTCATTTAAAATATTTCTATGCCACCTTTCTCCCCAAAAAGGCCCAAGGTGGCTTACATCACTAACCAGTATTTAAAAGCCCTTCTTTTAAAAGGGCTTATTTATTTATTTAGCCAACCACAGATGATTTATTTGGAAAATCACGCCTCTCAGAGAGTTCTGGGATATACACTTTGCAATTTGGGGGCAAGGGCTAGGATGTTGGAGGGATACAGCACTCCCAAGGTCTGGAACAGAGCAAAAAGTCCCTCTCCAAAGCTCCCGAGCCCTGCTCTAATTGAACTGGGGAACACAGAGGGGACCCCGATGGCCTCCTCCTTGAGCAACGTCTCAAAAGCCACAGCAAATCAAAGCTGGAAATTGCTGGAAGTCATAAACCAAAAGAGGCATTATGGGTTCCAGAAAAGTGAAATTAAGTGGTAACAGCAAGAGGAATTACAAACCTTGCTTAGTTAATAACGCTGCCTGAAATATCTGGTGTCTGACAGCATCCAAGGTTAGTCAGTGCACTGCCAGAAAAATAAGCTAACCTTCTTCCCCCACATCCCAAGTAAGGGGACTTCAGAAATGAGACCCTCTTCTTCAGATTTCCATCAGAGAGAGAGAGAGAGAAAGAGAGACTGGACTTACCTGTATTTGTGACACTGTATTCCTCGCTCTTCTTCCTGGTCTGATATATGATGCACACCCAAACCAAAGAAGTCAACACAATGCTGCACACAACAGCGATGGTGATGATTCCAATAGTGGTCCCATCCTTTCGGCAGCCCAGCGACGGCAGCACGCTCACCTGGCTGTGTGCTCGTTCTGTTCCAACCGTGTTTGAGATTTCACAAGTGTACTTCCCGGCATCTTCCATCATGACATTCCGGACGATAAGCAACTGGTTGCCAGGAGTAAAGTGATGCCTCTCAGTGACTATAAGAGCCTGGTCCCCCTTCAGCCAATTAATGCGTGGTGGTGGGCTGCCGGTGGCTTTGCACTGCAGCACCATGGTTTCACCGACAGATACGACGCGATCTTCCAATGGGTGAACCAAACTTGGAGTTTCTGTAAACATCAATCCAGAAGATGTTAGCATACACACTGTGATCCTACTGAAAGAACTCATGACATTTTGATAGCATAGAGTGCTGAAATTCTGACTCTGGACCACATGAGGTTTTCACTGCAACTGGCACTCAGAATTTCCTTGCCTGAAACTTTAATTTTTAAACCCTACTGGTACAAGGTCATAAAGTTTCCGGTTCTCTCAAAGTAGCAACCAACTGCAGGTGTGTACATTGTCTTTCAGTGTCAGTCAACATAGAAGTGGCGACTAACATTAAATGGGATTCAATAGGGTCACAATAATAATACCACTGCACTCTCTGCACTAAAGTAACTCAAAACTAGAGTAGGGCCAACTGAATCAGTGGAACTTACAGAGGTGTTGACTCACCAAATCCCCAGTGACTTAATGGGTCGCCTTTATTTATTTATTTATTTATTTATTTATTTGATTTTTACCCCGCCCCTCTAGACCATGTCTACTACTTTAGTGCAATTTGCTATGCTAAGCAACAGAACTTTGGCCACTCACTATCTTGTTCCCAGCTCCACTTTGCTCTTCTAGGAAGCCAGTTTCCCTTACCTAGCACTGTCAGCGTAGCATTTGCTGAGACCGAGCCGGCAGAGTTCTGAGCGGTGCAGCTGTACATGCCCATGTCCTCAATCTTCACATCAGTGATGAAGAAGACATCATCATCGGGCATGACATGCATCCGACGCTCACGAGCTGCAGGGAAGTCGGTGCCTCCGTCTTTCTGCCAAGCAATCTGAGGGGTGGGGTGCCCACCAGCAGCACATTCCAGCCGGGCAGTGGTCCCTGTCCGGGCAGCAATGTCATGGGGAGTTTTGAGGAAGGATGGCAAGACTGCAAAGAAACAGGCAAAGAAACGGAGGCTAAGAGACGTGCACACTTGAACTGTTCTGCTTCCCTACTCAATGGACTAGTTTGCCCTAAATGGGGGACTGCGTACAAAGCTCATCTGAAATGACAGGACAGTAAAAATTATGAAACAATGGTGGAATTTAAAGAAATATATTGATGAGAAATATGTTTTGCTGAAAATGCCATAAGCCAGTAATTATAAAAATAGCCTTACAGCTCTTTTTAAAAGCAGTTTTCGCAGACATAAAATCATAGGAAAGTGAAGTTGGCAGGGGCCTACAAGGCCATCAAGTCCAATCCCCTGCTCAATGTAGGAATACAATCAAAGCATATCTGCCAGGTGATTATCCAAGTTTTTCTCGAATGCCTCCAGTGTTGGAGCACTCACCTACTCTCGAGGTAACTGGTCCCACTGTCCTACTGCTCTAACAGTTAGGACGTTTTTCCTGAGATTCAACTGAAATCTGGCTTCCTTTAACTTGAACGCATTGATGCGTATCCTGCACTCTGGGATGATCGAGAATGCGTATCCCGCACTCTGGGATGATCGAGAACAGAGTTCCCCCTGCTCTGTATGACAGCCTTTCAAATATTTGAAAAGTGCTATCATATCACCCCTCTGTCTTCTGTTCTCAAGGCTAAACATGCCCAATTCTTTCAGCCTTTCCTCCTAAGGCTTGGTTTCCAGCCTTATGAGACACTCTGAAAAATGCCAACATTTTGGAGTCTTCCTCTCTGTTTTATCATTTTGCTTTAAAACCTAACATTCAGAGATCACAGAACTCTAGAACTTAAAGGGTTTTCCAAAGGTCTTATAGTTCACCCCCCCTGCCAGTACAGGAAATCCATTGCTAAGGGATTCCTGACAGATGGTCATCCAACTTTTTTTTAAGCCTACAAGAGAGGAGAATTTGACACCTTCAGTAGTGGTCCATTCCACTGCTGAACAGCTCCTACCATCAGGAAATTCTTCCTAATGTTTAGTCAGAATCTTGTTATTTGAACCCACTGGCTTGGTCTTTCTCTCTAGAGCAGGTAGAAAATAAGACTGAACCATCTTCAGTGTGACAAACTTTTAGATATTTGAGGATGGCTATCGTATGACCTCCCAGTTTGCTCTTCTCCAGACCAAACATACCCAGCTCTCTCACAGTTTTCTCACAGGCCTTGGATTCCAGATCTTTTATATCTTGCTCACCCTCCTCTGGACACATTTCAACTTATCAATATTCTCCTTAAACGGCACTGCACAGAACCAGACACAGCATTCCAGACAAGATCTGACCAAAGCAGAACAAGTATACCGTTAATTCCCTTGGTCTAAACATTGTACTTCTTTTCATGCAGCCCACAATAGCATGTGTTTTTTTGCTGCTGCATTAGATCCTTGACTCCTGTTTAGCTTGTTGTTAGCATTCCAGACAAGATCGGACCAAAGCAGAACAAAGGGATACCATTAATTCCCTTGGTCTAAACATTGTACTGTACTTCTTTTCATGCAGCCCATAATAGCATGTGCTTTTTTGCTGCTGCATTAGATCCTTGACTCCTGTTTAGCTTGTTGTTAGCTAATCTCCATACTTACTACTGCCAAGCCGGGTGTCACCCATTATATATTTTAATGCCCAAATACAGAACTTTACATATTTCCCTTTTAAAATTTGTTTTGGCCATTTCTGGGAGTTGTAGTCTATTTATTTTACCAGCTTGGTAAGAAGTATTTCATGTGGGATCTTGCTGAAATCAAAATAGATTGCATCACCTAGCATGTGATTGCTCAAAGTGTGTGATTACTAAGAGTCAATTTAGATGCAATTACCAACAAGGAGCATGGATCTTAGCAATCACAGTGTTCTCTTCTATGGGCTGTGGGAAATCATTTTCAACTGTTCTTTGCCTAACGTTTGTACGATTAGCAACGTTAAAGATCTGGTCTGCATAATGCAGGTTAGTTTCAAGGCCCGAGAATGCAGCCCTTTTCTCTCACTCACCATTCACTGTAAGTTGAGCTTTGTGAGAATAGGTAGAACCGAAATGATTGGTAATGATGCACTGATAACGGCCCTCATGAGAGAAAGTGACATGGCGCAGGTGCAGAATGGTCGTATATTCTATCACCACACCATCTCTGGCCCGGACATGAGCAAAATTCTCCATCTCAGCGTGATGTAGGATTTCGTTGTCCTTCTTCCACGCAAAGGTCATGGGCGAACTACTGCTACTGGCAGCGGAGCAGGTAAAGCGAATGTTCTTGCCAAGGACGGCCATTGTCGTTTCTGGCTCAACAATGATCTTGGGTTTGGGAAAATCCTCTAAAAAACAGCCAACACATTCTCAGTTTAGAAAGATGCCATTGTCACAAGCACTCAAATTTTACAACATTCAAGGGGTGTAAAGATCTGTTCTCTTCAGAGGTAAGAGAGGGTGTCTTTCATCTAACCCCCACCCCTTCAAACTCAAATACAGATTTCCCATCAAAGAATCTGAATCTTGACTATTTAAATCTTGAATATTTCCCCCATGTTTACTGGAACTGGAACTCTAAACTGAAAACACTTCGGTTGTACAAACATGCAGTTGCTGTCCCAAAATTGCCAAACAGAGCCATAGGGCAAAAAAAATGAGAGTCATAAAAACCCTTTGAGCGGAAGGTGAAATCAATATTTCTAGTGACTCACTGCATCTGGCCAATCTATTTTAGTGAAGACAAGCATTCAGAGCTGGACACAAATAGTCATATCTATGCATCACCTTATTTCCATCTTGAATTGGCCAGACACTGTAAGATGCCCTCCAACTGCTGCTACCACACACTGAGATTGCTAATTTGTTAAGAGTTACAACAACTGTTGCAATTAACGTCACCCATGACAAGTGCTGACAGGCGGGACAGGATCCTGGCACAAAGATACCGAAGGAAACAGCAGATGGATCTGCTTGTCACTATTCCAAAGGAAAGGCTTGTGCTCTTGGGGCCTGACAGTGAAGTCTATTTGGTTTAGCCGAGTTCCAAGCAGCTTAATTTATTAGTCACACAAAAAGCATCTCTGGTTTCCATGTTAAACATTCCAAGGGCACCCCTTCCAAGCAGAGCCATACCAATGGAAAGGAGAAACTCAAAGGGCTGGGTTGTCACTGAATCATGAAGGAGGCATAAAGTAAATTATTGGGGGGCCCTCCCCAAATTGTAGTTCAGACTGGAGGTAGTTCCAACAGGCCAGGGTTGGGACTAACACATGCACGGACGTCTCAGGTTTCATGATAAGTCCTTCGTTCCCCTCTATGGGCAGGGAGATAAGCAACTATATAAATATGAACCATGTTGCCTGTGGTCTGATCCCACACAATCACTGGAAGCCTTCTATCACATCTTGCCCCATGTCTCTGAGTCAGCTTTAAGAAAGCAGCAAATGCATATACAGTTGTAATCAAAATTATTCAACCCCCATTGTAAATCAGGCTTACTGTCAAAATTTACAAACTTTCAGCTGTTTGCAATGAACATATCAAACAAAAGCAATTGATTTAGCTCAACACAACGAATGCTTCAAGTGGTTTCCCCAAATTCAATACATTCTACCGTCTCCAACATATTCAATCCCTTCACAGCAAGCATCTTTAGTACTTAGTAGAGCACCTTTTTGCTGTTATGACCTGCTGCAAACAGGATTCATAGCCAGACACCAGCTTCTGGCAGCATTCCTGAGGAATCTTAGCCTATTCCTCATGATCCATGACACCCAGTTCAGTAATATTCTTGGGTGTGGGTGGTGCCACTGCCTTCTTCAAATCCCACCAGAGATTTTCGATGGGGTTCAAATCAGGTGACTGTGAGGGCCACTGCAGAATCTTCTATAAATTCTTTTGCAACCAAGCCTTGGTGGAATTTGAGGTACGCTTGGGATCGCTGTCCTGCTGGAAGGTCTGATGATGCCCAAGCTTCAGCTTCCTCACAGAGGGCGTGACGTTTTTCCCTAAGTCCTGGCTTCTCAACCCACTCAACAGCTGTTGTTTCCTTCAAAGGATACTTCATGCAGCAAACCAGATGTGGCCACAGATACAGATTATGTTGCTAGAACAGTAGCCTTATCTGTATTGTTCCCTATGGATTTCCTAATCTCACCTTACATGAATTCAGCTGGAAAATGAGATGAAATCTTGGCATGTTCCTATATTATGAACAGGTGTCTGTATGTTTAAACATACCTGACTGCAGCCTGTAGTGGGGATATATACACTCCAGTAAGACTAAGAGATTATGCTTTCAAATGAGCAGAGATGCATTCCTGAGACTGGTATTTGCCATGTAAAACTGACAATGCCCAATGCTTAAAGATAGCTTCAGCTGTACATTTTAAAAAAAGATGAACAACCAGCTATGAAGTGGGGAATACCTAGAAACCAGGACCCATTTAGTTTAAAATGAGAAACGCCTGAGCAGCTGCAACCTTGACTATGGCTCTAAACTTCTAAATAAATTTATTTCAAAAGATTAAAAAGAGGTGGTTACACATGTCCATTTAGCCGCTCTGTATCAGCAACACTGGTTCATAACCATTCTCTCAGTTACCACCATAGAAAAGATTCAGATGAAAACACTCATCTGTCATGTGCACCAAGATAATGTTGCCTTGCAAGTGGGTCTTGTATGCCTTATAGCAAAACCATGGAGGCTGTGCCCTCCATCCAAGTTGTCAAATTCTTGCTTGAATGAGCTCCAACCAGCATGACTCACAGGATTTGCAGTACAACCCTATACAGTAGGTGCTGAGTTGGTAGCTTCTAGGTACAGATTTTAGGTAACTAAACCTGGGGAATGGAAGGCATACTGATCAAGACTACTAGGAACGTAACTTCTACCTCAGGCATTTGCACTGATCTGGCCATCCACAGGTTATTTATTTATGGAAGTAATTGATTAGCTACCTTTCTGGCACTCGAGGCAATAACAGCTAGTACAGCTTTACCATCAACAAAAACAGCAATAACGCCAATAAAGGAGAACACATCTAATGAGATGAATTAAAGGTCAAAGCAGATAAACTGCCAGGGCAATGAAGTCAGTGTCAATCTGCTTGGAAATTAGACAAATATATGTTTCAGTGGGATGTATCATCTGTAAACGTTTGATGTTGCTTTAGCACTAATAACATCACAACATGCACTACAATGCTTCCATGATCTATTAATGGGTCATTAAGACCCCACTTACAAATTACTGTTCCATATGCATGCTGCGACATGCAAATCACTGTACCAAGATTTCACAGCAGGTCAATAGCTTTAGGGGTAGAAACATATTCAGGTTTATTGTGTTTTTAAAAAATTGAAAATAAGTACACCAAGTGCTTTCTTATGTTGCATCATCCTATAACCCAAAACAGTAATCTTATTAAGTAATCATTAGTTAATTATAGTGACACTGTAGGGCCACATCAGTGATATGTGGATGATGCCACTGGGTTTGCACCCTCACGTCTCCCTGCACCAAAGTATGACTCAATGAGGGCCAAAGGCTGGGGTTTTTAATGCCCTCCAGGGGTGCCACTGCATCAAGTGAGGTGAGGGCAACATCCATTCATATCAATTCAATTCCTTTTATTATGATCAACAGATCAAATAAAATCCACTCATACCCATTCCAGCTCACAATGTTTTTCCAATTTCTATTTACTGAAAGAGGCCAATTTGAAGAAGACATGGGCTTTTTACATTTCTCAAAAGGGGACGAGGGTTGCCAGTGCCTCAGAAATAACTGATGTACAAGTTTGAGGAAAAGGGAGAAATGTCACCCTGGACAGGCGGGAGGCTCCAGTCGAGAGAAACAAGTTGGCTGCAAAGTACACTCACATTCCTGGTTAAGGGCTTTCCCTCTAAAGAGACCTCAAAGTACCAGCCTTAGAGCCAAGACTTACCACAAACAAAGCTTTCTGGCACCACACTGAAAATGCTTCTGCCCTTTAAGGATTCTGGGTGGGCACAGGTAGCTTGCACAAATGCCTGCAGAGTCTTCTTGGTTAACCACTGCGGCAACCACTCCAGCTGACAATCACACAGGAAGCTGTCACTATTTATGTGGCTAGAAGGGAGCAAACAAAACACACAAAGAAAATGTCTCAGTGAAAACAGAGGTTACCTACCTGTAACCAATAGTTCTTCTAGTGATCCTCTGTGAATGCACACAATTGGGTTGTTCTGCGCCTGCGCTGAACCTCTCGGACGTTTCTAGACACATTGATTAGTGGGATGTTCCCCCGTGGAGCGTATGCTCCGCCCATCACTGATCCCCTCAGTTCCTGTAAAAATCCGCCGCTGTCAAAGAGCTATTTCAAAATACAACGTGACAGACAGAGGGGAGGATGGGTCTGGAGATCGTGCAGACTCCATAGCGACCAGAGGTGGATTCAGAGATTTTTCCCAGAGGTAAATCCTCAATCTTTGTAAATGCAGTTTTAGCGTTGGTTTAGTTAGCCTTTTACACTCGGAGCACAAGTGTGTAGGATGTTGTTCCTCAAGACAGAAAATGCAACAGTTGTGGCCGTTGGTGAGCGGGGTTTTATTTGCGCATAAAACACACTTTTTGAAAGGCCCGGGGAGGACCCATAAAAGAGTGGGGAAAATAGGAGAGAAAAACGGTCCGGGGGAGGGGGGAAATCAGCAAAACACGGGCAGAAAAAAAAACTGGAAGAAACTCACAGGGAAAACATCCAATAAAGAAAGATGATTAAAAAGATTTGGAGTTTAAAAAAACACGATGATTCGATGAGAAGAATTAATTCAATAGATCGCTCTAGTCTCCGAAACAGGTCTAGCCAACACGGCGGAAAAAAGGAACTGAGGGATCAGTGATGGGTGGAGCATGCGCTCCATGGGGGAACATCCCACTAATCATGTGTCTTTAAGCTCTAGAAACTTCTGAGAGGTTCAGCGCAGGCGCAGAACAAACAAATTTTGTGCATTTACAGAGGTCACGGAGAAGAACTTGCTAAAGCATTTTACAACAGCTGATTACTGTTCTCTCACCAACCTGATTAGCAGTCCTGAAACTAGCAGAGGAAGTAAAGGGGAGCTTACAGGGTATATTGGCTTATTATACGCAGACCCAAAGTAAACCCAAGCAGTGCAAAGCCCATGATTTCCAGTAAACAAGTAGACGGCGGAGAAGAAACTGGATTTATGCTTTCAAAATAGCAGACATAATATTGCTTGCACAAGACCATCAAGTTGAAGATACATGGATATCTAAAACATGGATCTGACTCTGCATATCAGGTTTACCTATTTGTCTAATTTCTCAAGACAGGTGATCCAGGAATGAATCTTTTTTAAACTGGAAAAAGGTAAATATTGGTTACTTTCTATGGAAGGGCCCAAGAGGGCCAATTCCCATGCCTTCCACAACAACCACCCTCAGAGTGATTGCTCCAGGACCACCTTATCCATGGAAGATGGTCATGCCATGGACAGTAACACTAACCCCCCCCAAAGGAGTCACCTATGGAGATGTAAGACTGGCATTAGCAGGAGTTTGCCCTGAGAGTCCAAACAACAAGGAAATCTCTGGAAGCAGTCCTTCCCAGTACTTGGAAAATTCACTATCTTGGAATACAATTCCCTGAACTGCCTAGTCAACAACTATGGGAGTTTTGTTGTTGTTGTTGTTGTTTAGTCATTAAGTCGTGTCCGACTCTTCGTGACCCCATGGATCAGAGCACGCCAGGCCCTCCTGTCTTCCATTGCCTCCTGGAGTTGGGTCAAATGGGAGTTTTAGTTCATGAAATAACTTTTCTGAGCTCTATCCTTCCACTAAATGCCTCATGGAGCAGGAGTACAGGGCAGGTTTTGTATATCAAAAAGACAAGATTATATAAAACAAATTGGAGGTCAGGGGATAAACCCAACAGACAGCCGAAACCAGAGCAGAGGCACTGAATCAAGGGGAATTGTCCTAACATCCCATTTGTTCAGTAAGTCAGTTGTGGTTGGACTCACTGTTTGGGATTTACCACTTGCCTCTAAAAAAGGCCCTACTGGATCAATCTGTCCTTCTAGACCAGCACCCTCTTCCACCCAGTGGCCCAAAAAAAGAGAGCTATTTTTCCCAATAGCTCTTTCCCATTATTGTCACTGATTTTCGGTGGTAGGCTGCCTCTGTATAAAGTCACCATTGTCACAATAATTCACACACCATCTAGTGCAAATCTGTCTAATTCCTGTTTAAAACATTCTTAGTTACTAACTGTAGCAACAAATTCCAGACGTTCCATTAATGGTTTCATAACCAAGAATTGTGGCTAACACAATACTTTGAATGGAAATGGACATCTGTGATGTCTACTACTCTTTATAGGTATACTACCTGGAAAGCAAGGCATCCCCTTAACTTACATTTAAAGCAAGTGAGATCTGATCGAAACAACTGACCCCTGGCAAATGCAGACTTGTAGTACTAAATAGGTGTATAAAAGATTGTAAGCCTGAGGGGTAAGTGAATAAATTTAGTTCCTGGGCATCAAATGTCACTTGAACCTCAGATGGTGCATAAAGCAGCACACTTAGATTTGCAAGACAGGATGTTGGTTATTCAGTGTGCTAAACGGGACTCTGCTCCCCGAAGCGTCAAGCTGCTAACACGACGGTCATTTCTCCTTCCTGAATCTCAGTGGGTAAAAGGATCACATCTGAAGCCTGCTGATCCTTCAAATGTCAGTGTCCTCCAAAAGCAGGTATAAAAAGGACAGGCAGATTTGTCACCAGAAATTGAGTCAGTCACGGAATGCTCTGTAAAACTAGAGAAGGGGAGTCTAGATTTCCTAAACAGAGCTGGATGAGGCACAGATGCAGCCCAGTGAAAGCAGCTACTGAGAAGATCCAATTTCACTTGTTACTGAATGTGAGACGTGTTTCGGACATCTGCTCTACTGTAAAAATAGCTTGCAAAGGTGGCGGGTGGAGAGCAGAGAGAGTTGAGAGTGTGGTGTGTGGGGGTGGGTGGGGAACAGATCTGGAGGAGGAAATATTTTCATAATAATGCCGAAAAAATATAGAATAGACTTAAAATCCCTCTTACTTACAGCTCCTTTAGATTCTTCAGCTTGGCAAAGGCATCTTCCTGAACAGACCTGATGGCATTACCTCCAAGGTTCCTATAGATCATAAGCATTTATTTATTTCAACACACATTTTGATTGATTCGGCCATAAGATTTTGTGCCAGCTTAGTTTCTTTGAAACAACTTATGGCTCTATATGCATTCTTAGCATTTTGATCCCCTACAAATCCCAGTGGCTGCTGCGTTCACACATAATGCTGTTAAGATGACATGGGCCTTCATGGTCTCTCGTTCCATTCTTCCAGCCCAACTACCAGGAAAGCCTTTTGTTTTTATTTTAAGCCAACTGTAGCTTGCTGTGATGTTTGAATCTATCTTTTATTAAGATTTGGTTTGCTAAACTGTGGTTTGTTTAAAATTGAAGCTGAAGTCTTGAAATTCACTGCTCCTCACCCTGAGTGTTTAAAGTAAGCAGGCGTCAAGCTTGTGGAATCTATCATCATCATCATCATCATCATCATCATCATCATCATCATCATCATCATCATCATCATCCATACAGGAGATCTTTTGGAATCTGGCCATCAGCCATTCTCATGACATGCCCAAGCCAACGTAGACATCCCTGTTTCTGTAATGTATACATGCTAAAAAATTTCAGCTCGTTCTAGGACTACTCTATTTGGAACTTTGTCCTGCCAGGTGATACCAAAAATGCATCGGAGACAACGCATATGGAACGTGTTCAGTTTCCTCTCCTGCCGTGGACAAAGGGTCCAGAACTCACTGCACTACAGGAGTGTGCTCAGGACAAAGGCTCTATAGACCTGGATCTTGGTATACATACACACATGTGTATACATACACATATGCAGTACTCTTATGCTGCAGGACCCCAAGCCAACACCCCATGGTCTACCTCTAGTAACACTAATGCAACTGACCAATAGATCTGGCCTACCTTCTAGCCAACTGTAAATCAAACCATGGTTTACGCTGGATGTGAGAAAACACATGGCCTTTCACATGTTGTTGGACTTTTACTTCCATTAAATATAGGTAGCCAGAAGAGCCATCAATTAGGAATAATGGGAAATAAAGTCTAGTAATATCTGGAAGGCTGTGGGTTTCCCACTTCTGGCTGAGCCCTATTTGTGAAGTAGCCAATATTTCCCTACAGAACTAGTCATATTTTCTTGGCCTGCGAGAGGAAATATTTTAAGATCTGTAAAATCATACATCCTCCCAGTCCATATTGTTTTATAAAACTGGTAGGATCTGAAATAATAGGATCTTTAACACTTCAAGAAAAAACAAAAACCAATTTTTACTTAATTGAAGTATGTGGGTCCCCACCCAGATTAAATTTGCTCTGGTGAACAGATTTGAAGAACATAAGAGGAATTGGTGGGGAGGGGAGAATGTTTTAGTTTCCCTGAAATATATTCCCTCTTAAAAACAACAACTCCAAAGACTGCTTAAGGAAATACACATGCTTGCCATTTTCAATAAGAATGCCAGCTGAGTTGTTACCTAGTTAAAAAAACCTCTTAAATGAAATTTGCGTGCATTTCTTACGAGTAAAAAATAATAGTTCTGCCAAAGAAAAGGCTGATTTCCTTTGGATATCGTCCAGCCCACTGCAGGTGCAGTGCCTTTGTAAACAATGCCATTGCCTGCAAGGGTACAGCCAGCCGAACAATTAAGAAGAGCAAAGCAACCACCTTGCCAGTAGAAGGCTGTGGTGGCCTCATGGTTGTTCTCAGAGGCCCTCCAGCTGCTTTTTCCTCTGTCAAAAGACAGGATTGTCTAGGCACATAACCTGTCTTGGCCTCCCCTAACTGTGTGCCCAAACCCATGTGAGGTGGAAGGCACCATCCAATTTCATTACTCATCAGTTAACTTCTCTACACAGACTGGAAGGGATACCATCTTGTTCATTCCTCAGTCAGCAAAAACTTGGGGCCAGGCCCACTCAGAGCCTCTACAAGCTTCTTCTCTTCGCTGCTTCTCCTTGCATGGACAATGAAAAGGGCTGTCAGTAAGCACAGAAGCTACACACACAGCACCTATACCCTCACGGAGCCCTCTCATGCTATTCAAACACGTTATTCATGCTTGTGGTGAATGAGTAACTGGCTTCATGAGACACCTAACACTTTTGGACTTTCCATTCATACTAATGGTCACTTGCAGTATCCGAACTAGCACTATCAGAGGAATCCAGGGAAAGCAGGTTCTGTTGAGCCTACGGAAATCCTCGGACTACAGGCACTGACCCCCCCCCCGCCAAATGCTAGATGTGACGATGTCCTTGGATGTTAAGAGGACATTCCTGTGTGTCACAGATGTCGTAAGGGCAGAAGAAAAGGCAGAAGAGAAGCAATGCCTCTTCTAAAACAGCTCATCGGGAGATTTTTAACACATTCCTATTTTTAAAAAGAAGGGAATGTGGTGGCGCTGCGGGCTAAACCGCAGAAGCCTGTGCTGCAGGGTCAGAAGACCAAGCAGTCGTAAGATTGAATCCACGCGACGGAGTGAGCTCCTGTTGCTTTGTCCCAGCTCCCGCCAATCTACCGGTTCGAGAGCATGAAAATGCAAGTAGATAAATAGGGACCACCTTGGTGGGAAGGTAATAGTGTCTAAGTCGCACTGGCCATGTGACCACAGAAGATTGTCTTCGGAGAAAACGCTGGCTCTATGGCTTGGAAACGGGGATGAGCACCGTCCCCTAGAGTCGAACACGACTGGACAAAAATTGTCAAGGGGAACCTTTACCTGTACCTATTTTTAAAAAATCAATAATTGAAATATGCTATCCAACTAACTGGGCATTTGAGGCTGTTCATTCAGTTGGTTTATGGTTTAATTGATAATGCCTGCAGAGGAGGAGAAAGAGGGAACATGATGATGGGACAGATGCTGATTTTTATTATGCAAAATGTCAGCAAGGAAATCCACTTTGTGATTTGCCAGTCATGCAGAAGAACATGCCACCCATACGTCGTCAGTCTGGTTTGTCCTACTGTGAATTCATTTCAAGCAATATGAAAGATGAGGGACCTGGTAAAATAATGGGGCTGCATTACTGTTTATTTCCCTTTGCTTGGCTTCCACCCACCATAAAAAAAAAGCAACAGTGAGGTGCACCTGTGGTAATACACTTATTCTTCCCTTGGTTTGCATGTATGACACTTGCCCAGGTGAAGAGGAGCAACAGAGCAGAAGACATGTTCCCAGGATATTGGGAAAGGAAGAACAGAGTGTGAGGGCGACAGAATAGTTTATGTTTCCCACTAAGTTATAATTTTTGTTATGCCTTCATGTAGGAATAAAATGAGGCATACTCCACTGTGCGTTTAAAAAAAAAATCTAAGAGCATGGAAATTGGCCATGTGTTCTATAACTCTCTTCCTGGCAAGGGAAAAAAAAGAGAGGCAAATTTGGAGCTGACTTGTAATGAGAAGGAAGCAGCTGGCTCTCACAAATGGACTGGCTTCTCAGCTTACAAAGATGCTATTAAATTGCTTGCAGGCCCTTCCAGCAGCCACTTCTGGCAATCTTCTCCCCCCCCCCCACTTCTCTTCAAGACTGCAAAGCATTGTGGGTTACTCACAGGTGTTCCAGGGCCTCCAAGCCTGAGAATGCCTCCTTGGCCACAGACTTGATCTTGTTTCCAAACAGAGTCCTGCCGTTTCCAAACACCCAGTGTCAGATAAGCAGTGGATGGGAAATAAAAGAAGAAGAAAAAAAAGAAAAAGATCCCAATTAGCGTGGCTGTATCTGATGAAACATCGCCATGTAAGGCGCTGGAAATACGACCTGGGCAGATAAAGGGAAGCTGAAGTATGCACACTCTCTTCCCATCCCTGAAATTAAATACTTTTATCTTTATTAGAACTTAATAGTGATGATAGCTTTACACAGGACACTCTGTACTGTATTAAGACATACAGATTTGCTTTCGTTACTGGAGAATGGGAGTCAGGTTTGAATTGACCTTCACTTATCAGAAAGAAAACAGTTTAAACAAGATACTGGACTTACCTCAGCACATTTCACTCCCGATCTTTTCACAGCTGGTAATAAACAACTCACAAGACACACGGATAGAAATTTTGTGAGGTTTCTTCCACTAGGTGGAGGGCAAGGGGGTGGGAGGAGATGAGAAGCCTCTGGAAAAATATCTACGTTCATCCCCATGGATTCAGAGCAGCTTGCTGGGCTCAGTTTTGCTCTGCATTTTACCTCTTCCAACCTCCAGATATTATACCTATATTATAAGGCTCCTAAAGGGAACGAGGCACTTTTCAGCACTCAAAGGTATTTTCCAGAAACACCTGCTTATGAACCTATTGCTTCGTGTTCCACCATGTTTCCAGTATGTTCTAAAATTACTTGGAATGGCATGTAGCCATTAAACCAGGCTTGTCCAACCTGCGGCCCGAGGGCCACATGCGGCCCAGGTCGGCTCATAATGCGGCCCAGTGCAATTTTTTATTTTTAAAGACATTCCGAAGTTTCAAGTTACACTGCCGGCACTTGCGGCCGGAATGCGGCCGGGGCACGTCACAGCAGTAGAGGGGGAGAGAGGGAAGGAAGGGGTGGGAGGGGAGGGGACAGGGGGGCTGTGTGACCGCATTGCGCCATCCCCGTCAATAGGTGGACCCCCTCCCGGCCCCATAAAGCCACCGGAGTTGAAGCTGGCAGTCTCTGCTGTCTGAGATCGCAGCTGCCGGTAAGTGCGCTTGGAGCGGGGCTGCAGAGGATGGCTAGGGCTGCCCCCCCCATGCGGCCCAAACCAAATTTTCATCTTCTAATGTGTCCCAGGGAAGGTGAAAGGTTGGACACCAACTTATTATGCTCTTAAGATTTTTAGCTGGTGAAATAGATTTCTATGGCCACAATACACAAAATGGGGAAATGTTTTTAGGAAGAGAATGTTGGCAATGCTGGCACACGACAGGCATTAACTCATTTATTATTAGAGGATGACCGGTCACTTCCCAACAGAACCCACAACAGGGCCAGCATACGAATCTGCAGGCTTTTTTGGAAAGTCAGTTCTGGCTCAACAATATGCATGACGATGCCTTCCTGGCCCACTGAATCAGCCAGCCACAGAGCTATAGTGACTAAAAGCCTTGGTACTAGTTGAGTCTATAGTTCAAAAACTTGAGCCACACCTTCTCTAACTCGTTGGATTTGGCAAGCTGAGTGTATGGATTTTGTCTTCCAATTCTTCACAACTAAATCCTGCAGTGTCCTCAATATTCTTTATAATATTAAGGCTACAAAGCCTGATTTCAGATGTAAATCAAGTCACTCATGGCATATTATATTAAAACATGGACAACCTGCTGCTCCATTCCACATTTCTCATACAGAAATGCAGCACAGATTTGCTGGTCATGAAAAGCAAATCTGGGAAATGCTTAACTCTTACAATCCGACAAACACCTGAAGACTCTGTACCACTCCTGGCATCTCATAGTGGGAGCCAGATTGGCACGGATGTGTTTTGATTTGGAATGTCCTTATCCTGCTACTTAGTTCTGATTTCTAGAGTGCTCCTAGTTGTCCATTTCTAATGCAGTACAGCAACATCCTGAGCCCTGATGACAGATGAGATTAAAATCCTACAATAAATTAATTCAGGAAGGTATTATACGATGAGCCCAGGACCGCTTCTTGTGTTTCAGTTTTCATTAACAAGGGCAGCTCTGTAATTTTCTACTCTGAATAAAGACAAGAATTAAGATTCTGGCATGCTGAGAAACTGGGAGCCTTTGTGGGTCACGAAGAATCTCAGCCTTGGGAATCTAAACTACAACTGGTTCAGTGGGATTGTAAAGTAGATGCTGAGACTGAAGTGGACTGAGGGGTTGAAGGATAAGAAGCTATCTTCTATCAACATGGTGCTCTATTTAGCAAGACTGCTCATACACTAAGCCCATTGCTTAGTGTAGTGAATTGCAGTAGAACAGTTCCACTAGATCAATGGGGAATTGGCGAGTCAACTCCTCCATAAATCTACGGATTCAAATGGGCCTACTCTAACTGCAACTTATTATGCTAAAGAAAGACAGGTAGGAGTAGGCCTATTAAAATCAATGGAATTTACAGAGAAGCTGACACATCATATTCCCCTCCATTGATTCAGTGGGTCTACTGTAGTGCTATTTACTACACTAAGCAACAGGATTTTGGCCTAAATTACTCAATCCTCAGAATCCCCACAGCTTTTGAAGCATTTTATGAATGCCAGTATCTAAATGTAGTATGCAAACATGTATTAAAGCTTATGTAGAGGCCTATTTCAGAGTAAAATTGCACTATTTGTGTTGTTCAGAAAAAAGCAAACCACAGATTTAACTACACAATACATAAGGATGATTAGTCTAACTTGTGATCTTTCAAAATTGTGAAATCTAGAACCCACCAAAGGTAACCAAGTGTACCCTATAGCCTAGGTCTTAGACACAAGAACAATAACAAAAGAGTCACAGGCACAAAACAAATTGGGGTGTTAATTTGCTAATGACCCTCATAATACGATAGCTCTGGTATTCTGGGGACTGACACAGTTTTGTGAGGTGGAAGGAACTGCAGCAACAGCTTCTAAGAAAACAAAACAACACAAAAAAAAAACCTCAGCAGTTTACAGAAGCATCCTGGACATGTAACCAGTAAGGCTGTGTACAAGCATGAACACACCCAAAAATACATCTTTAATTGTTTACTGGTATGTGCTCACTGGTACGTGGCCACACCCCATAAGAGCTAGTGGGAACAGATGAAGAGCTGGAAGGATTCCAATGAAGGAATTTTGATTAAGGAGCCTCGTGGCACAGTAGTTAAACTGCAGTCCTGCAACTAAAAATCTGCTTAAGATGCATGATGTTCAGTCCTAGGTAGCTGGTTTTGAGGATTACTCAGCTTTCCATCCTTTCAAGGTTGGTAAATTTAGTACCCAGCTTGTTGGGGGGAGTAGTGTGTAGTCTGCATAATTCAATTATAACCACTTGGAGAGTGCTATAGGCGTACATAAGCAGAACACTTTGCTTTTTGCTTTTTACAACAACCCAACTATTCCAGGTAACCAATACAAGTTTTAATTACGTTTAAGCTATGATAATGTACCGTATTTTTCCGTGTATAAAACAGCACTTTTTCTTTAAATAATTTGAGAAAAAATTGAGGGTCGTTTTATACATGGAAGGCAGCTGTTTCCGGCTGCCTTTTGCGAAGGCACGAGGCTTAGCAAAAAGGAAGGGGAGACGTTTGTCTCTTCCTTTTTGCTAAGCTCGATGCCTTCTCAAAAGGCAAGGAAAAGCGGAGGTCACTTTGACAACTGCTTTTCCTTGCCTTTTATGAAGGCACGGGGCTTAGCAAAAAGGGAGCCCTTTAATCCCTGCTTTTTCTAATTTGGGGTTAGAAAAGGGAGGGTCGTCTTATACACTGGGTATTCTTATAAATGGAAAAATATGTTATATCACTTCACTCCCAAGAAGAACAATAAAGAACATAAAAACGTGCAAAGGTTCACATAATTATCCTCCAAGTTTAATGTGTACAATATTATATGCTCAAAGATGGAGATGGGGGTATTCGTATATGAATATGAATATTCCCACACAGCTGGAGTTAACGAGGGCCCAGCCCCTGGGGCCCGACCGTCCACTCACACATTCGCCTACTCATCTTTTCAATCACTCCTGCAGCCCTGCTCTCTTCCTGCTCGGCCGGCCACTTAGCAGATGGGCAGGGAGACTCGTCCTCCGTCCCCTTGCTCGAAGTGGCTAACCAAGCAGGAAGAGAGTGGGGCTGCAGGAGTGATTGGAAGAATGGGCAAGGCTGCCACTGAGGTTGGAAGCATGAGTCAATGGACCTTCATTAACTCCAGCTGCATGTGGATTCCGTATTTGTATATGAATACAAATATTCACATCTCTTCTCAGAGAATTTAAATATACTGTCTGAAGACAGTTTTAAAAAATAAGAAAGGCTGTCACTAGAGAACAGGAGTTCATGAGGGCCTGAATTTCTGAGGTAGCAGGTGAAGTCATTGGGCAAAGACTTTTGGGACTCTCTGCTCTAAATCAATAAAACAGGTGAAGGTTGTGTTGTCCATGTTTCAGTGTTAAGCTGTAACAAAGTTAGGTCATGTCTGCACTTCAAATTATTTTAACAAAGAACAGAGAATTTAAATATACTGTCTGAAGACAGTTTTAAAAAATAAGAAAGGCTGTCACTAGAGAACAGGAGTTCATGAGGGCCTGAATTTCTGAGGTAGCAGGTGAAGTCATTGGGCAAAGACTTTTGGGACTCTCTGCTCTAAATCAATAAAACAGGTGAAGGTTGTGTTGTCCATGTTTCAGTGTTAAGCTGTAACAAAGTTAGGTCATGTCTGCACTTCAAATTATTTTAACAAAGAACAGTTTTCCTCTAAGTAGCACTGGGAACTACAGATCTACAAGGAAGCCAAATTTCTGACAAAAGAATACTCAGCATATTTACTGATTATTTCCAGAAGATGAGAGAAATGTGGAAAAGTGGACAAGCATCCCCTCACACACGCAATTTAAAGGCAAAAGGGAGAAATACAATTAAAGACAACTGCTGGTCAAGGTTAAACTCAAGAGTCAAGTGGTGAGGAAATGTGGAGCTGTAAGCATGTCTTCTGCC